CATGGCTACCATGCAGAGGATGGAAAATCCACTCACAATGCCGCTTGATGTTAGCTGAGGGTTGGCCAGTTTCTATTCAGACTAGATATGTACGTGAAGGGGAGAAAGGAGATAGAGGTGGAAGATTAAATCTCAAATTCAAACTTATCCTTAACCTTTTGGAAGGGGGGTGGTGGAACAAGCTGTATCCGTGGTCTCTGTCCTGGGGACAAGCCGCCCACCACTGAGACAAACAGTTGTCTTTTGTTGTGGCAGTTTAGCAAATAAGGATTGGGCTCACTTACTGAGCTGGGTTGAGCCTTGGGGTGGGCTGTTTATTTTATCTCAAGATACTAGGGCTTCAAGGTACATTTTTTTACTTTCTGAGGGTCTGTATTTTGACCAAAAGCATCCCAAGGGTTAAGAGTTCAGGTGCAGTGCCTCTCGAGTCCCTATTGATTTCAAACGGTGTGAAGTGAAATAGGAGTTGAATTCCCAACCTGTCTTGCAGTTTTTCACGAGTTCTGTTTTAAGTTCCTCACCACCCGCAATGTAGATCTCTGACTTTTCAAGAAATAATGAATTACAACTGGAATGTGGGGATACAAAATGCCATTAGCAGTGGCTTTTCTACACCACATCCAGCCCGGTAGCTCTCTCTCTCCCCCACCTCCGTGTCTGTTGACAAATGCAAGCCAGGTTGCTAACTGTGGTGTGTTAGTGCTTCTCAGAGGTGTCGGGCAGACCATTTGACATCTTGCTTGTTCTCCTCAGTGTCGTGATGCGTTGACCACCCGGCAGAAACTGATTGCACAAGATTACAAGGTCAGCTATTCCTTAGCCAAGTCTTGCAAAAGTGACCTGAAGAAGTACCGCTGTAATGTAGAGAACCTTCCTCGTTCCCGAGAGGCGCGTCTTTCCTACCTACTGATGTGTTTAGAATCTGCTGTGCATAGAGGTAAGTCCCGCTCTCCTCAGCATCTGTTTTGTGGTAGGCGCTGCGGGGCACACCGAGGAGAAACGGCATGTTGTCGGTATTCTAGTAAGATTGGACACACATGAAAGAAAAATCATGTACAGTGGTGCCTCGCATAGCGAGGTTAATCCATTCCGGATTAACCTTCGCTATGCTGAAGCATCGTTGAACGGGGCAGGGAATTCCATTGGAACGCATTAAACATGGTTTAATGCGTTCCAAACGGGCCGAATACTCACCGTTCCGTGATGCTTCTTAATGGCTGGCAGCCATTTTCGCGCCCTCCCCTCACTTAACGGGGGCGCGAAAATGCTGCGCGCGGCCATTTTGGGCCATTTCCGGGCTTCCGACGGCCATTTTGTCTGCCTAACAGCTGATCGTCGGGCTTCGTCTTGCGAAGATCGGGAAGCGAAACGCTTACCGATCTTCGCAAAGCGAATTTTGCCCTATTAAAAAAACGTTGAGTGATCGCATTAGCGATCCCAAAAAAGGGATCGCTATGCGATTTTGTCGTTGTACGGTGCGCTCGTTAAGCGAGGCACCACTGTACTGAGGAATATGTTGCTTTAGCCCACATGTCTGGTGTGATGGAGGAAAGAGACCGTGATACCAAGGCAAAATTGATTTTGTTTGAGCTGTCACAGATTCATCTGTGTGCCTTCCTTCACATGAACAGCGTTTCCTCCAAGCACTTATACAAAACAGTAGGAAACTGTTGCTGTAAATGGAAATACCTTCTAGACTTCAGGAAGCCAACTGGTTGTCTCATAGACGGTTGCAGTTCCGAGACCCTGTTCCTTTTTTTTTGCAACCCCTCCCAGTGTGTTGCACGGTCTTTCCTTCCAATATTCCTGCCTCGTTGTTCCTTTCTGAAGAACACCTGACACGAGACTGTTTTGACCCCTCGTTTTTGTTTTTGTGGAGAGCCAGATCAAGGGCCTATTTGTGACAAAGGAGTCAACTTGCTTTCTGTTTTCTGACGCACCCCGAGTTCTCTGCCGTCAAAATGTATTTATGTTCGAGATGTACTGGTGGACTTTCCTTTGACAGTTAGTAGCTTCTGCTTTTGATGGCACCTCCTGGAAGCCTTAGCTTAGCACGTCCTTGTGTTGCGCACTAATTCTCAAATTAGAGGAAAGGCTAGGTATGACAGAGACGGTAACAGAACTGGCTCCTGTGCTAAAGCCAGGTCTGCAGGCCTTTCTGCTGTATGTCGTGTTTGGCCAGCCACTGGAGAGACGGGCTTTTAACCTTGGGCCGTGCTCTGTTATCTCAGCTGTGCAGTGCTGGGAAGGATCAATCTATTTTGTTACCTCTGCCCTGCAGCACTCCTTTTCGCTAGTTGCCACACCAAGGAACTGTTTAGCAATTCTCTGGTTATCTTTAGGCACTTCCGGATGATGCTAGCTCGTTGAACCCATTTCAGTCTGACATAAATCACGGTTATGAGGTGGAAACTGCCTGACTCTCTTAGGTCAAGAGAAAGACAGAGCGGTGCATCCTTGTTTGTTCCCCTGGCCCTGTCAGCAACTTTGGATGAGCACTACCCTGACCTCTTTCTGCCTTGGCTAAATTGAAATTATTTTTTCACATCTGTCTGCTTGCTGGGAGATATACTATGGAGGGACATGGTGAGCTGCCATTCCTACGTAGGCACAGGATGGTCGGTTCTGATTCCCCTTTTTGTGAAATGCAAGCCAAGCCTGTCTTTCCTGAACTGATGCTTGGCCATGGACCGGTTAAGAGACAGTTAATAAAGACCCAGTCCAGACAAGATGAGAATGTTGTTCAGTTAGCTAGCCAAGATAATTACAGTCCCTTAGAAAGAGAAGTGTAGAGATCCTCATCCAGAGTGGCTCTGCCCTTACACCGCCATCTGCTGGTATGTTAGCTGTGTCCTTACCTGGGTAGAGGTAGTCTGGCAGCAGTTATCCATGCAGGGGTGACCTGCTGCCTGGATTATTGCAATGTGTTCTGGAGAAGGGGTACCTTCCGATTCCCCTCTGCCTGTTCTATTGCTCCACTGCCTTGGCTGATGTCTGATAACCTGCGTCGTCTCCCCTGACTTCCCTTCAGGTCGGCAGGTGAGCAGTGAATGCCAGGGAGAGATGCTGGATTACCGGCGCATGCTGATGGAGGACTTCTCGCTGAGCCCAGAGATTATCCTGGGTTGCCGCACCGAGATCGAGCACTACTGCTCAGGGCTGCATCGGAAAGGGCGCACCCTCCACTGCCTGATGAAAGTCGTGCGCGGAGAGAAGGGCAGCTTAGGAGTCAGCTGCCAGCAGTCGGTGAGATTGTGTTTGTGGGGGGGGGGAGAGCCCATCTCACACATCATAAAACTCACAGAGTTTTTAGTGTCTGAGTCAGGAACAACCGTCTTCACACCTTGAACGGAGTAAAGGTTCTCCAGCATCAGCAGGATAGGTCTAAAGTTGGAGGAGGAATTGCTGAATAAACTCGCCCGAGTCCGCTCTGATAATTTTGCAAGGACTCCTGCTGCAATATATGTTTGCTCATGCAATGCAGCACCTCTCAAGATTTTATGGTGGGGAACGGCAGGTTGCTCGATTCATACCCCCTTCTGGCAACTTAGCTTCAGTTCCTGATTATGGCTACTTTGATGTTTTCACTTAGACGCTGAGGTTGGAGCTGAGATGTCTCTTTGCTGCCCCCACAGCCTTGGCACAACCGTACTGAATAGGTTTTACTAAGTGCCCTGCAGCGTATTTTAGGGGCTGCAGCACAGTCGGGCTGCTGTCCTGCCATTTGGCACTTTGTTTCTTGAAAAGATCTCGACTGCCAAGAAAGCAAGGGAACACCCATCGTGTGCAAATCTTGTCCAGTGGCTTTGTTTGTGGAGAAATAAGGAAGTAAAACAACCTATGACCAATGCATGAAATGTACGCCCTTGTCCCCCCCCAAAAAAGCAGCGTAGTTCGATAAATATATCTCTAGCCAGGTGAGATCAGGTGTGTATGCAGAGCACTGAGCAGAAAACCAGCACCGTCTTCCGGCTGCAAAGCTCTTCCAGGAAACCATGACATGATAAGCCCAAAAGACAGACTTGATTTTGGTGGGAGGAAAGAAAGCCTATCCTGGTGTTGAGTTGAGTCCACATTTCCCAGAGCGAGTGGTGTCTGTCTGTGGCATTTATAGGTTTTGTGGTCTCTTCTGTGTTTCATGGCGAGAAGCTTGGCCCCCCTCGTTTTGCTGCAGTTGTAGGAAAACTTGGAATAGCTGAGGCGTGACGCTCCCTCCCTGAGTCACTTCAGCAGCTTTGGATCCTTTGAAAAGGAGACTCTCTGCCAAAGGTGGCTTTGAAACTGCTCTTCCCCACATGGGGACCCTCCAGAGGCCTTTGACTACACCTCCCATTCTCCCCTGTAGGCATGGAACCTTTATGCCTGCTGGAAGTGATGAAGGTTATAATTTCATCCATCCAGAGGGCATCACTCTAGGAAAGACCATTCTACACGGAAACACAATTTTTCTGCTCGGCTGACTCTCGAGAGTTACTGTGGTTTTTTTTACAGATGTGTTTCCTGTGTTCCCCTTTTACTCCCACCCCCAAATGGAACCAGTAGGTGGGTTTATCTGTTGCTCGGCCACCTGTATTGGCTTCAGAATCTTGTTGAGGGAATAGATGCCATTTGCTGGGAGGCCTCTGAACGCCAGGGCAGCTAGCCAGCATGGGGCTCGTGTACATTATAAGGGCCTTTGTAGGAGGCAGAGGGGAAGTGGTGCCTTCTTTCTTTCCTGCCTTGGCTCTTTCCCCTCTCATTTCCTCTTTGGGGAAGGAGGACGGTAAAATAGTGCACCTGGTTTTTTTAAATTCTCAAAGAGGTAATGGGGGAAATCCCTGGGGCTGCCTGGACCCCACCGGGTTGTGTTGTACAGTATGAGCTGGCTCTTTGCCTTCCTCAATTAAGTCTGCCATTTCCAGAGGCAAATGCAGTAACTCTGTTGTGCCTGAGTCATGGGCAAGGGAGAGCGCTTTTCTGTTTGGCACAACTCTTGGCTGCGAACTGTACTTGGGCTTGAAAGATAAATCATCCACTCAAATCCTGGCTTTGCCTTACAAACCGTTGCACTTTAAAAAAAAATGTGACAGTAGCTCTCATCCCAGGGGAAGTTTGTTTTGTGCTTCTGGAGGAAGTCCCTGAAATTAACTGGCGGACAGGAGCCAGTGCCGTTAGCTTTGCAGTTCTGCCAAGGAGAGAAGCCGGAGATCTCTCGGAATGGCTGTGCCAATCTTGTTAAACTCCCTGTCGCTCTTCCTCCTCTAGCTTCAAACACTGATCCAAGAAACTGACCCTGGCGCTGATTACCGCATCGACAGAGCTTTGAACGAAGCCTGCGAATCCGTGATCCAGACCGCGTGCAAACATATCCGGGCTGGGGACCCCATGTAAGTTAACCAAGCGAGCACGTTCTGGAGTTCCCTAGTTTTTGCTGCAATGCACTGCTTGTATGGCATAGGATAAAAATGCCAGAGAAGATGGATCCAGGGTGTCATTTGCAGATGTGGACTTTGGGTGAAAGGACTTCTAGGGGGACCTTCTTGAAATTATGGCTCCCGCTTGCCTCTTCTTAGCCTTGCCAATGCTATGTGTTGTGGGGAATAGGGCGAGCCGGTGGGGAGGCTGCCTCCACAGAGAGCAGGCAGCTGCTCTTTCCCTCTCCTGATGGGTGCTCTGTCGGAAGTGAAAGCATCCAGACGCGGCACCTCTGGGCTTGACTTCCCTCTTCCTTTTGTAGGATTCTGTCTTGCCTGATGGAGCACTTGTACACAGAGAAGATGGTGGAGGATTGTGAGCACAGACTCCTGGAGCTCCAGTACTTTATCTCGCGGGATTGGAAGTGAGTGCGCTCTCCCTCTCCCTCCCTCCCTCCCTCCCTCCCTCTCTGTGTTGGGGAATGCACAGCCCTTGCCCTCTGCAAGGGGGCTTTTAATTCCACCAACCCCTTGGAAAGAAAGTTTGGTCAAAGAGGTGTTGAGTTTCATGATCTGGAGTGGATTTAACTCTAATCCTTCCCTGGCTCCAGTTCTCTCACATAACAGATAAGATTTTCTTTTAGAGCCTGAAACAAAGGGGAGCCATGTGATCAATAAAAATAAAATGCAAATGAAAATAGGGTTTTTTTTAACCTCTGTTATATTTCAGAGGCGAGAGATACAGGGCTATAAGGAAATGCCATGATCCTGGATGGGGTGGGCCAGGCACAGCCTAGACTCTAACGGTGACTCTGTGGCTTCCTCCGCTCGGATAGATTGGATCCCGTCCTCTACCGCAAGTGCCAAGGAGATGCCTCTCGGCTTTGCCACACCCGTGGCTGGAACGAGACGAGCGAGATGATTCCTCCTGGGGCCGTCTTCTCCTGCCTGTACAGGCATGCCTACCGCACAGAGGAACAGGGCAGGAGGGTAGGTGCTTAGCACTCCTCCTGGATCAGGAAATGGGATCAGCGAGCATCCTGGAGGGTTTGTCTCTGGTTCTCAAGGTGGTTTTTGAATATTCCCAAGAGAGCAGATAGGTTGAGCAGATACTTCCTGGAGGGGGGGAAAGGGGGGGAAGGGGAGAGGGTTACTCACAGCCCACTTTACAAGCCACTAGGATGTTTTGTGATTCAGCCAACTTAGCTGTGAATTTGGCCGGTCTTCTCAGGAACCTCCCTCTGTGGAGTGCTCTGCATGCCATTCTCAGGGCCGTTGCTTTGCTCCCCTCCTCGGAGACGAGGGCACTCCAGAGCTGAGATGTTCTTGGCTCTTGATAACTTATCTGAAAAAGCAAAAGCTGCACAACATGCCCCTGTCTTTCAGCTCATAAAGAAACCAACACTCTGCTTCCCTGAAAACCTAATAGATAAGCTTTTGAGAGAGAAGGGTAGAACGTGCTTCTGCCCCGGGCTTCCTCAACTGGGCATGTTCTGGGCTCCTGGGTGCTGGCTTTGCTCTGTCATTATGGAGCTAGCTTTGTAGAGGAGTCTTCCTGTCGGTAGCCAGAGGGGCACCTCTGCAGTCTTGCTTCCTTCACCCAATGTTTAGTCTTTAGGGTTTATGGTTCTCGAGTAAGCCTTATGATGGGCACCATGCACAGTTGCCAGTCCATGTTAAGACTTTCCAGGTTAAAAAAAAAGCTTGCCCTGGCATCTCAGATCTCCCTGAGTTCTGCTACCTGGATGATTGGAGCTTGCCTCTGCCCTTGTCGGGGGCCTTGTGAGCCTTGGAATGCTCTCTTTTTAAAGGAGAAGCCCCTCCTCATTTGTGTTGTAACTGGGCTTGGTTAATCTGCCCATTTTTGGCACCTTGTTCAAGCCCATCTTTTCAGCTGGGCCTGATGAAAACTGCCAGGCCAAATGGCAAGGCAAGCCAGCATCTGAGAGGCTGTAGCTCTGGACCAGTGAGTGGAAAGAGGCCAAGAATAGCCGTAGAATTGCTGCCTGCATCTGGAAGGGAAAGTCCCCAGATGGGGGTAGCTGGGAGTGCTTGTCCGGAACAGATCGGTATGTTTGTGCTTGGCAGCTGTCCCGAGAATGCAGAGCAGAAGTACAGCGAATCCTGCACCAGCGTGCCTTGGCTGTGAAACTGGATCCGGCCCTCCAGGACAAGTGCATGACCGATCTGGGGAAGTGGTGCAGCGAGAAAACGGAGACGGGACAGGTATGCGGAGCATCCGTTTTCCTGGTGCTTTCTCAGGATGGAATCGGGGAGGCCCTTGTTGGCTTGAAGACAGTGTTTCCATGCCAGATAACGATGTGGTTCAGTACAGGGTTGGGGGAAAGAAAAGGGGGGGGGGAATCCACTGATGTGAGTTTGATGGGTTGCTACTCTTTGGATGAGGTGTGGGTCGTGGTTTGTTCAAGGTGGAGGAGGAAGGGCTAGAAGAGAATTTATGAGTTCTTGATTGGCCTAAAGTCTCCCTGTGGTGGTGCTCCAGAGGCTGGCGTTGGCCATAAAACACAGCTTTGGCAAAACAGTGGGTGACGGAGATAGCAAAGCAAAGGAAGGAAAGGTGCAATCGTGGCAGAACAGGAGAGCAGGCCTGTCGTCTCCGACACCCACTTATAAAACCAGTCAGCACAGAGGTTGCTAGAGGCACAGCATGGGGCCTCTGTTGGATTCTGGAGGGAGAGAGAGCAGGCGGATCTGTTCATATTCTGCATTAAGACTCTTGGCTTTGTTTAGGAACTTGAGTGTCTTCAAGATCACCTGGATGATTTGACTGTCGATTGCAGAGATATTGTTGGAAACCTTACCGAGTTGGAATCTGAGGTGAGTAGGTTTTGCCTCTCAAGGGGGACTACCGTGGGCCAGGGGTTGCCCTTGACTCGGTTTGTTGCCCTCAAGGTCTTCAAGTGGCCAACATTTTATGCCATTCTGTTGATGAAGGAAGAGGCTCAGATCTTAATGAGTTGTCCTAAACAAAATCCAAGCTTGTGGTCATTGAAAAGTGTAGCTGGGTAAATGATTTCTTTTCTTTTCTTTTCTTTTATATTTTTCTCTCTCTTCTTTTCTCTTCCATCCCTCCCTCCCTCTTTTCTCTCTCTTCTATCTATCGAGGTGGTGCATCATTTTGACAGGCAGTCTCTTTTGAAAGCCTGCTAAGCTTCGGTCAAATCTAGCTGGCCTGTAGTTAACAGTGTCAGACTTTGAGAAGTGCTTGTTGCAACCAGTTCTTGCTCCCCCAGTCATCTTGTGTGCAACTGTGGGAGCCGCTTCCTGACTTGCATGTCGGGAGGAGGGCAGCCAGGCATTGAGGATCCTGATACGCAAGCATCCCTTAGACAGCAGCAGTGCAGACTTCCTTAGGATAAGCTCCGCGTTGAACAATCCGGCATGAGCCCGGCCAGGCTAAATGCTGTCTCTCCCTTTGACAGGATATCCAGATAGAAGCCTTGCTGATGCGAGCCTGCGAGCCAATCATCCAGACATTTTGCCATGTAAGTGGCTCTTGCTCATATGTCTCCATGTTGGGTAGTGAACAGGGCATAGAGTTCCTCTCCTTCAGTCTCTGTTATGGGAACACTTCACCTGCATGCTTTGTGGTGTGACATTCCTGTCCCCCTTAATTTGTACTTTCAAGGAACGTCCGCAAGTGCGCAGAGGGCCTTTCTGTGTCCCCTTTGCTCAGCTTCTGGAGGATGATACTCAAGCCGCAAGCATTACTGGGTTGTCTGAGCTTTGCTGGCGCCACTTCTGTTGTATTACAGATTTTCTTTCTTTCCAAAAGCAATTTTCTAACTGTGAGCTTAAGCTTGGTACTGCTTTGGGGAATATCTGCTAATGCCTCCCAATGCCAGGAGTGCCTGTGTGGGATTTGCTATAATCCAAGGGAATTTTAGCGCCCTGTGTAGCTCCAGGGTGCTCCTCATTCTGGTTAAAATTGGAAGTAGAGAAGTCTGTGTTTTTGGACCTACAGAATTGTAGTCTACAAATGCCGTTTCCATGCCTCTAGTCAAAACTGAAACACATTAGAGGGTAGAGGAGAAAATGTGCTCTGGGATCGAAGAATCCGGCTGTTCTTGACAACTGTTATTCTGGACTGCGTGACCGCCTAATATTTTTGTATGTCCCACCTGCTTGTGTCACAGAACGCCTAGGTGGCATTTCACAGGCCATTTTTCTTTTTGGCTTTGTGGGAGCATGTAAAACGTGGCACTGCCTGGTATGCTTTGGAACTGGCACTGTGTGCCTGCACGGTCAGTGTGGACCTGGTACATGTTGCCTTCAAAGGGTGTGGTAGTTCTGGTGCCCACAGGGCCCTCTCTGCCTATTTTAGCCATCAGATTACAGTCACAGTGGAGAGCAGCACTATGCATTCCTGGTCTTTAAATTACGGGTCTCCTTATGTTCGTAACCGGAGCGTAGATGTTGCCAAAAAAGGGAGTCGGTTCCTTGCAGACCATCCGTCCCTCTCTTATTCCCACATCTCCCATTCAGGAAGTGGCAGACAACCAGATCGACTCAGGCGACCTCATGGAGTGCCTCATTCAGAACAAACACCAGAAGGAGATGAACGAGAAATGTGCTGTTGGCGTCACACACTTTCAGCTGGTGAGTGCGCCTGGCCTTCCAGCATCCCTGAACTTAGCGAGATGGGGGAGCCACCCACGTCCTTCTCCTCCCATGAAGGCCAGAGTCTTTCCAGCTGGGAGGTGAGGCCTTATCCCTTTCGCATCACCCCCTTGGCTTGCTTGCCCTTTAACAGACTTCCAAAGTCTGGCAGCTGTGGATTCTCCTATCATGCCCCGGGAACACCAGACGGGACCCTTTTAAGTTGACAAGGCTTGTGACGAGTGCTTGGATACTGGACTGCAGCTCCCATGGATCAGAGGAAGGCGGGGTGTCTGTGAAGGTGTTAAACGGGCATCCTCTTGAACTCACCTGGGTGGAAGCACCTGGGAAAAGCTTGGCGGTTGCCACATCGGATTCTTTGCCAGGATTCTCGTGCCTGACTTTGAACAGTGCCTGCTTGGTTTTTATCCCCCCCCTCCCCACTAGGTTCAGATGAAGGATTTCAGATTCTCGTACAAATTTAAAATGGCCTGCAAGGAGGACGTGTTGAAGCTGTGTCCGAACATCAAGAAAAAGTAGGTAGAACCTTCCGCCTTGGGGGTGTTTCCACCAGCAATTTAGGAGTTCCTCGCTCGAGGGGTTGGAGGCAAGAGAGCCTTTGTTGTGGCTGACTGGAGCTAGGATGCCTCTTTCTTCTCCAGGGTGGACGTGGTCATCTGCCTGAGCACCACCGTGCGCAATGACACACTGCAGGACGCAAAGGAGCACCGGGTCTCCGTCAAGTGCCGCAAACAGCTTCGTGTGGAGGAGCTGGAGATGGTAAGAGGGCCCCTTTGCTCCCACCAGAGTTTCTTGAGAAAACCCAGCTGGTGCTCCTGTGAAAAGATGTGGCATTCCCTCCAGGCTATGTGGCTTCTCTCTTATGTTCTAAACTGGGCTTGTGGCAGGGTTTTGCCGGCTTTTCCAGACACCGGGCCACCAGAAGGCTCCCTCTCCTCACCGCACCGATGCTCTTCCCAACTCCTGGAGTGGCAGAATTTTGCTCAGCTGGCCCTTTGGGACCAGTCTATTTGAAAGACCTTTCCAGTTCTGCTTTGTTTTACTTCTCAGTAGGATTGTTGTTGTTTTTTTTTAGCACTTCCTTGTGTAACCAGTAGTTGAGGAGTGCACGCACGCACGCACGCACACGCACACACACACACACACACACACACACACACACACACACACACAGAGAGATGGAGTGCTTGATCATTGGTTGGCCTTTGCTGTATCTCTCAGAGGTCTAATTATTGTCTACCAGGAACTGCCTGCATGGCACCTAAGAGCGCCCTAAGTCTGTGCCTCCCACGCTTCATCTTAAGACTGTGTTTAAATTCAGACTTTGTGGTTTCAGCGGCATGCTGGCTGCTCCCACTCCCTCCTCCCCTCACTGCTCTTCTTTAATGTGTTCATCTTTAATTTTCAGCCCGATGAACATTTCTGCTGAATGCTAAAACTGACTGTCTGTTTTTTTTGGGGGGGGAGGGGGGAATTGGCTGGTCCTGTTCTGCTGGTTCTAGACCTGAATTTTAAATTTCTGCTTTGCTTTGCAGACAGAGGATATTCGTTTGGAACCAGACCTTTATGAGGCGTGCAAAACGGACATCAAAAACTACTGCCAGAACGTTCCGTATGGCAATGCTCAGGTGACGGGCCTTTCTGTTTTCATCCTCCCTTTGGTAGCTTGGGAAACCCACTTATCCTCTTAAGAGGGATGGTGTCTGAAGCCGGTCACCCTGTGGGGATTGGGACCGACATTTCCAGTCCTGCTCTGGCGCTCCCACTCTGCTTTCCCCCACCTCGATTCCACTAGCATATTCCAGGACATCCCCTATTTTATTCTTACCTTTCCTCTCAGTCCGCATGTCACTCATACTGTCCAGGTTCAAATTTCCATAGGGATTGTCTGAAGCAGAAACGGCTCAGTTTTAAATTTCATCGTGCGTTTAGATTATAGAGATAATGGTTTTCAACTTGCCTCTAGTTAAACTTCCTTCCACTGAACCTCTTCTCTAGGTGAAGCAGAACAAGTCCAGGCTTATGTGTTGCCTTCAAAACCACCACTTCCTTTAGCTGTGAAGCCTAATTTATTTGTCACCTGTATCAGTGTAACATCCCATCACCCTCGTTATCCCTCCTCTTCCAGATGAAACATGGTTTAACACCATGTGGCACCAGGGATACCTTTTCGTCCCTCTGCTTCGTGTTGTTTGGTCAGTGAGTCACTGGCTGACTCCCCCAGTCTGTCTCGGCAGTGCCGCCTCTACCGGCTGTTTCCTTAGTGATGCGATGTTGTTTCAGATTATTGAGTGTTTAAAGGAAAACAAGAAGCAGCTGAGCACCCACTGCCATCAGAAGGTCTTCAAACTCCAAGAGACAGAAATGATGGATCCAGAATTAGATTACACCCTCATGCGTGTCTGCAAGCAGATGATTAAGGTAATTATAGTTGATTAAGGGCAGCTTGGTCCAGTGATGAAGCCTAGTTAAATTACGGTGCACCTTTTCACTGATGTATATCAAACATCTTTTTAATGGGGATCCCGAAAAAGCAGCATACGTGGGGAACAGGAGGGGGAGAGAAGAGTTTATCTGTCTTCTGCGCAAAAATGTGTATGGGATTAATAATGTGAATGTGGTTTTCCGCAAGAGCGAGACCGCAGAAGAGAGAACATGGGTGGCAGATCCATAGCAATCAAATGGTTCTTCTCCATGGTCTCTGTGAACCACATGTGTGGCCATTTCTGCACTTGCACACAAAACTTCTTAGAACATTTTAGAACAGCATCCCCCACACACTGCACACATCCCTGCGCTTGGTGGTGACCCCTCAATTCCCTGAAGGTCTGAGGCCTTCCGACCTCCTATGGATCCAGTGAGCCGGTTTAAAAACTGCATTTTGTGGGCCAACAAAATCCCCCTCACCCGCGGACATTCAGAGTGTTTCTGCTGCCTATATGAGGGGCACCAGAAACACGGGCTTGCCAGCATCGCCCCAAAGTTCACAGAGGTTGCAATTAAGAGCCAACCGTCCCGTCTCAAATTCCACCTGTGGGGAGAAATCATGTCAGGCGGGTTGGTTGGATATCTCGACAGGCCTCCTCCGTTCCAGCAGTGTCTGTGTGTAAGACATCCTCCAAGTGAATCGTGAGGGAAGCCTTCCAATATTAGCCCACTGCCAAGTCCGAGGACAGTCAGAGACCAACAGGGGAGGAGATGGCAGAGTTGCCGTCTCTTGATACCAACAGTATACCATCGACCTCAAGGGTGCCTCTGTAAAACCCATCACCCACACAAAGAGACCGTGTAAGCGTCGAGAGGGGATCCCCACCGCATTGCTCTGGTGCCCTGCCCTCCTCCTGCCTGGGGCCCTCCCCAGCACCCAAAGGGCGTTTTCCTCTACCCTTCATAAGTTTCCCTGGAATGCCCAGGGGAACCTGCCGAACATGTCTCTAGGGTGAACCTCTCAAAGATGCTGGCTAGATCCTCATTCTCTGGCTTTGCTGCTCTTCACCTCTCCTTAATTCAGAGGATGAGGGTCACGGCCAGGGATGGGAAAGGGCTTGCTTCCCCCCCCCCTAAAATCATTGCTCCCGTTTGTTGGCAGAGGTTTTGCCCAGAAGCGGATGCCAAAAACATGTTGCAGTGTTTGAAGCAGAACAAGAACAGTGAGGTGATGGACCCGAAATGTAAACAAATGATCACCAAGCGCCAGATTACACAAAACACAGGTAAGGGCTGTCCTTTTGTTTATTTGAATTAGTCTGGGTCAGGAAGCTAGCTGGGAAAGCTTAATGGGCAGGCATTTGACAGCTGTGTTGTATCCAGTATTTGGAGAAAGCCTGTAGCTGTGGGTCATGTATTTACAACCGGCATGCCAAATTCTGTGCCAGAAATCTTGATCTTTTGAGCAGTAGAAACCAGACAAATGCATATCATGACTCTTGTTTTTCTGTTTGGTATAATTAAAACGGTACAATTCAAAACTAGAAGGGATATTGGAGGTTATTTTGTCTGGGGCCCCCTCCCCTCCGTGTAAGAATCAAGTGGGTCTTGAAAAGCACAGTTTACACCTGCTTTCTTCACTTTTTCTGCACTCCCTTGGTGCAGAGCAGGGTCCAACAGTTAGTGGCATCAAGTGACCCCTTCATTGTAGGATGACTGATAGTTGCAGTCCTGTGTGCAGATGTTTTCCAGCAAGTCAAGCAGTCATTCAACTGCTGGGAAAAGCCGTTCAGCCAGAAAACCCAAAACTCAGTGGAAGTTGTACAGTTCCGTGGAGGGCACCTCCTTCCTAACCAACAGGTCAGGAATACTGACGCCACTCCTTTCCATTTTGCTAGACTACCGCCTGAATCCGGTGCTGAGGAAGGCATGCAAAGCAGACATTCCCAAATTCTGCAAGAGCATCCTGAGCAAGGCCAAAGACGACTCCGAGCTGGAAGGAGAGGTCATCTCCTGTCTGAAGCTGAAATATGCTGACCTGGTGAGTGAGACCCACACGGGTCCCTTCCGAGCCGAGGGGCAGAGGCCCCCTGTTCTCTTGCCCTGAATGGACCTTTGCTCCTTGGCCAGTCGGGTAAACAAACATATTGAAAATAGAGGAAGGCTGGATCCTGCCTAGAGGATGCTTTGGCATCAAAAGCTTAAAATCAGTGAAGTTTCTTTGAAAAATTCCCAGGGCGGAATGGTTGCAGTTTGATTTAGGGGGGGGGGGTGATGGTTAAGAATTCATAACTGAGCTGCTGCCATGTTTTTCCAGTAGCTAGAAATGTTTGAAATGACCATTGATGTGGTTTATGGTTGTTAAAACATTACGTGCCAAGAAGAGAGGACAGCATGCACTGCCATACAGAGTGCAATTGTGTGCATAGTGGCGGGGGGGGGGGGAGGAATAAATGTTAATGCTACTTTGACCATCTGCCAAATCTCAACATTGGGAATTTTTTAAAATAGACATGGGCATGAGTTTCCGAGAGCAGTCACCTGAAAAAAATCATTTGCACCACTTGAGCATCTTAGTTTGACTGGCTCAGGATCCGTGTTGTAGTTTTTTGTTTTTGTTTTTTAAAGAAAAGATTAAATGCCTGTTTGAAACTGGGAAAATTTCTGGCCAAAAGATGTCATAAGCCAGGCCATGGCTGTTGAAAATGCTAAAGTCAAACTCTTGAGATGAGTAGATAGAAAACGGAGTAGGGATCCCTTGGCTTCCTGTGGTTTTTGCCCATGTTTGTCTCTCTTCAGCGGTTAATTGTTCCTGTTCTTTCTCCTCCAAATATTTAGGGGAGATTGGAATAGAGATAAGATAAGCAATGGGATCTGTGCGCTCCGGGAGTGTGGGATGGGTGGGGGAGCTCTGTTCCCTTTCTCTGTCGCTCTTGAGAAGCTTTCCAGAATTCCCAGCTGTCAGAAACTGGCTTGCGTGTGGCTGCTTCTGGCATAATGGATGTGACGGTCGTTAAGCTCCTGCCAAAGCTCGGGTTGCTTTGAGTTGCTCCCTCCCCCAAATGAAGCTGCTTTGCAGGCAGCGTCTTCCCCAGATGGAAGAATCCTCCTTAGACTGGAAGCTAAGGAAACTGCCTTTTTCCTGCCAAAAGTGGTTCTTAAGAAACATTTTGGCTGAGCAGACTGTATATCGCAGAAAGTACATCACTGCTACGGAACCTACTTGGAAGATTAGGTTTTTGCTCTAGAGTATGTTCATCAGTGAAGCTGCCTAAGCAGAATTTGTCCAGGTGTGGGCATTGTTGGTGAACTCATGAATTTGCCCCTCTCTGGTTTCCTTGGGTCGTGGTAGCGATGAGGGAGAAATGTAGACTTTATAAACCAGTACATGAAGTGGTGCAGTTATTCTGCCAGTATTTTCACATCTCCAAATGTTCTGCCATCAAAAAAATGTGTGTAATGAGGGGATGTTACACAGAAAGACCTATGTTTTAGAGGAAATGTGCAAAAAAAATGCACATGAAGGTTAACGATTTCAAAAAGCCCCAGAAACTGGTGCACGGGTGGGTGAAACAAATGTTTTACAAGAAAGAGTGAAACTTAGTGATATAATGATAGGGAGCCCCTTCATATTTCAGCTGCTCTAGACCACAGCTGTTAGCCAGGCTGCCTTGCGTACCTGCGAACGGAAGCTGTGTGTGAAACAAAACACTCGAAAGTGCACCGGGGAGTCTCATGTTCTGTCCTAGCAGAATAGGGCCCTTGTGCACCGGGGAGTCTCCTTTCATGTTCTGTCCTAGCAGAATAGGGCCCTTCCGGTGTTGTTGGGTTTCGGTTCCCATCAGCCCCGACTGGTGTCGCCATGGTGAGAAACGTTGCTGGGGGGAAGGACTGCAGTCCAAAAACATCTGGAGGGAAAGAAAGGCTTCACCTCCCCCCAGTTTATAGAACGACTGTGCCCATCGGTGCCACACAGAAGGGTCCGTGGGCTGCAGCCCTCAGTGGCCATGCTTGTTGATCTGGGGAGTGAGTGAGTGAGTGAGTGAGGCAGTTTTCGGGCAAAGAGGCTGGCCGGCTGGCCACTGAACCCCTGTGCTCCCAGACTTCAGATTTTCACCAGCAGCATTCAGGGAGCGGGGTGGGTGCAGTGGCACATGCACATGGTGCATTGGTGTTAGACATTCTCCAGCCTGTCCTCTGTCTTGCTCTGCTCCTTTTCCAGGGACCCCATGCTGTAGAAAAGAATGGGAGATAGCTGCTGGAGTTCTTAATTTGTTTTCTTCTAAGTAACAAGAGTCGAAGGTGCCGGAATCTCCTCCAAGGCTTCATTTAGCTGAATGGCAGAGAGCAACTCTGGTGTTACATGTCAATAAGCCTAGATTCTTTTCCTTGGACAAGCCTGGTATAAACTGTGCTTCTTTTATCCTCTTAACAGCGTCTGTCTCCAGACTGTGAAGATCAGATTCGAGTAATTATTGAAGAATCCGCTCTTGATTACCGGTTAGATCCTCAGCTACAGATGCACTGCTCAGACGAGGTGGGAGTTTCCACATGCAGTCCTGCTTCATCTCTCTCTCTTCTCTCTCTCTTTCTCTCTTTGTGTGTGTGTGTGTGTGTGTGTGCACAGTCTTGGAACTCTTGGTAGCCAGTTGTGAACTGTGGCACTTCTATACTCTCCAGGATGTAGCAGCAGCTTTGTGGTCTTCCTTTTTTGTACCTAAGGATGTGAGATGCAAACAGTGGATTTGTAAACAGAGCAAAACTGTTTGGCAAATCAATGCAGGATCTTACATAGAAAGTGTTCATGTGGAACTAGGGTGCCCAGAATCAAGTTGAAAACATCTAGGTGTGTAGCTAGGTATGCATGTGTTTGGGTGGGAAATATTTATGGGACGTCTTCAACACATTGCAAGTCCGTAAATGATTACTTTACACATTTGATTCCAGGCAGCCTCTGCAGTAGAGAGCCATCAGGGTGGTGGGGTGGGTGTCCCTGCCCCCTCTCCGTTGCTTGCACTGTAAGCTTTTGCTCAATGCAGTAGGGGTAAAATGTTAATCAGGAATGAGCTATTACTTCCTATCCAAGAACAACTTCTATTCCGCCACTCATACACTTAAAAAAAACCCCAAACATTAAATAAGTGTATTGGTTTTCTTCCATTGGAGGGTAATTAATACCATGCAGATTGTGTATCGTTACGTCCTTTGTATTTTTTTTAAGATTTCTAGTTTGTGCGCAGAAGAAGCGGCAGCCCAGGAGCAGACCGGGCAAGTGGAAGAGTGCCTGAAAGTGAACCTGCTAAAAATCAAGACGGACATGTGCAAGAAGGTAAGGAAACTGGCGCCGGGGGGGGGGGAGCATCTCAGTCTTAATTGTTTGTGAAATGGGGAAGAAGGCTGTGAACACAGAGGGAGGCTTCCTGGAAAGCCTTTATGCACAGCTCAGTCAGCGGCGGCTTCACCCGCTCAGTGCACTCCTCTGATGTCAGAACAGGGTGGGCTGCTTATCGCATCCATACCAGCGCCCTGAGGGCTGCCCCCTCGGGATCCCCAGCCCCATCAAGCAGCTGGCTGTGACCCGCGAAGCCCTGAACGATTGTGAGATTACTGCCCATTTAGCTACCCCAAGAGTGCAACTTTCCCCAACTGCTTGGGTCTGATGAAATACACTGAAATGCCCAAGTCGCGATGCTCACTGTGTTCTGGTCTCCTTCCCTCCAGGAGGTGCTGAACATGCTGAAAGAGAGTAAAGCGGATATCTTTGTGGATCCTGTCCTCCACACGGCCTGTGCCCTGGACATCAAGCACCACTGTGCAGCCATCCCTCCAGGAAGAGGGCGGCGTAAGTCTCCCACCCACTCTTCCACTCTTTCAGGAATCCGTTGGTTCCTGATGTTACCCTCTTATACGTGCTTGGGCTTGCTTCCTCTTGTGCATCTGACTTAGGGCCAGGTCCATTTGTTAAAAACTGCAAAGGCCTGGAAGAGTGGGTGGGCAGGAGAACATGTCATCTATTTTCAAAGCACCTTTCTGGATTTCCAGAATTTAGAGGTACCAGGGAAAAACATGTATAACTACTTTGTTTTCATATTACAAGATGGTTTGATGTGTTAAGAACTTTGTCAGTTCTCCCAGTGCTGGAAAACAAGAGCCATATTTTCCCAGTGGATCCGGAGAACTTCTGTGGCCTCAAAGAGGAAAGTCTCTCTCTCTCTCTCTCTCTGGAAAACAGCCATATTTTCCCAGTGGATCCGGAGAGCTTCTCTGTGGCCTCAACGAGGAAAGTCTTTCTCTCTCTCTCTCTCTCTCTTTTTCTTTCTTTCTTTCTCTTGTGACGGATTCTCTGTTCTGCAGAAATGTCCTGCCTGATGGAAGCCCTGGAGGACAAGCGTGTGCGGTTACAACCGGAGTGCAAGAAGCGCCTTAACGACAGGATTGAAATGTGGAGTTACGCTGCCAAGGTGACCGGGGCCACCTGCTTTCTTCCTCTGGGTGGGAAATCAAGATGGAAGCCCCTGTCTTGGAAGTAGTGGGCTTTTGAGAGATCGTGGGAGACGGGACAGGTTAAGTCTAGAGACACACCTTCCCTGTTGGATGGGTGGTACCAGTACAGCCTGTTTGTGGACACTGGGGAGGGGGGGAGGGAGGAAGGAAGGAATTGGAAGGAAGGGCAGAGTGGGAGAGTGACGGCTTTTTCTTTCTCCGTGGCTCCTAGGTGGCCCCAGCAGAAGGCCTTTCCGATCTCGCTGCACAAGTCATGACTTCTCCGTCCAAGAACTACATCCTGACTATGATGAGCGTGAGCATCTGTGTCCTCTTCCTCATTGGCCTGATGTGTGGGCGCATCACGAAGCGAGTGACACGAGAGCTGAAGGACAGGTAGAGCCTGCCTGGCTAGTGACATGGAGGAAAGAGGAAGGAAGGCCTGCCCACCATTGCCCAGTTTGTACAGCCCTCCTCTGTATAGTCTCCCCACCCACCTCACTCCTCTCCGGAGAGGACCAGCCAACTAGAGCAGCAGCAGCAGCAGCAGCAGCGCCACCGCCACCACCACCACCTGTCAGCTCACCTTTCCACCTCGTCCATGGCATCTCCACTCCCAGAAAGAGTTGGCACGTGCAGAGTCTTGGCGGCCCAGCCAGCAGCTTCGTTACCCCATCGTTAGCGACTGTTGTTTGCCTGCCTGTAGACCAGTTTTTCTCTCTCTCTCTCTTTCTCTCTCCTCTCTTTTTCTTGTATGGTTGGAACTGCCTTCACTCTCCAAACCAGACTGATGACCTGCAGCTCAAGAAGGTTTTTAAAGTCAATTTTTAAGGATTTATTCCAGGCATAATGTTGGGCAGTGGGCGTTGGTGGAGAAATGTTTGCGTTCCGTGGGTTGGTAGGAGGAACTGAGGGGAAGGGACCTCAGCCACCGCTCACAGCTGGCCTTGCTTTGGACTTTCGGTTCATCCTTATACAAGCCTCTTCAGCTTATAGTCAGCCAGCAAAAGTTGCCTCCAGAAAACCATCCTCTCTACTGAGCTCCTGCTCTCATCCTGTGTGTGTGCGTGCGTGTGTGTGAGTGAGTGGGCGAGTTTTCTTTTATGGCCTGTTCTTCTGTTTCTGCCAAAAGGCAATGCCTTTCGTATTTTCCCCTCACCTTTGAGATTAATAAAACACTGACCAGAACTAAGAAACCGGTTGTCTTCTGAGGTTCCCCTTGCACAGCGTCCCAAAGGAATCCATAGGGAAGGTGGTGAAGAGATCTGCTGGGAGGGAAAGGCAGGAGGATTTTGGGACTTCAGAGAGGAGGGGACCCCCTGCTTGGTATCCCTCCCAAAGCATGGTTATTTACAAACTGCTGTCTCTCTCTCTTCCCCCCGGATAATGCCCAAGGCATCCTTTTCATTAACAGCTAGAGCAAGACTTCTCTCCTGTCTAGATTCCAGTTGTGAGGATCATCTGTTTTCTGAGAAGAGGCCAGACCCCCCCACCCCCGGTACTGACACGAAAAGGAAGAACAGGGTCAGGAGTGGCCAGGGTGGGGGGAGAGAGACAGAGAGAGAGAGAGTGCGCACATGCTCTGGAGAAGAAGCATGGACTTGTAAGGTGGTCACAGATTGGAGGTAGGCCGTATCGTTACTTGAAGTGGTGCCTCCTGCCAGGGAGTTCTTCTGCTGGGAGCACGATGCTCCTGAGGAATGATGGGAGAGCAGAGAGGAAAGGGCCGTGATGGCCACAGGCGCATGGGGAGGTACAGCGGGATCTCCGTTCTCCTCTTAGACATGGCTCTGTGTGTTTGTGTGTGTGTTTGTGTGCCTGCTGGAGGGGCAAATCCTGCCGCTGGCTATTCCGCGCCGCCTGAGTGGAGTCCCCACGTCCCGCTTGCCCCAGTCCCAGCTTTGCTGTTACCCCCACCAGACGAAAATCAGCTTGGCATTTCTGCATTCGTGTTTCTCCCTCCACCCGGATGGGGGGGGGCGTCTTTCTGCGAAGGGACCAGCTGCCCCAACTTGAGGGCGCACCGACGGTCATGCCTGTCAGTACTGTGAATCTTCTTTTCTGCTGCTCTTGAAATGCTGATATGAGATGCAAAGTATTTAGCGTTAGGAAACCGAGATGATGATGATGGGCGAAAATCAGCTTGGCATTTCTGCGTTCATGTTTCTCCCTCCACCCGGAGGGGGGGGGGGCTTTCTGCGAAGGGACCAGCTGCCCCAACTTGAGGGCACACCGACGGTCATGCCTGTCAGTACTGTGAATCTTCTTTTCTGCTGCTCTTGAAATGCTGATATGAGATGCAAAGTATTTAGCGTTAGGAAACCGAGATGATGATGATGATGATTTTTACCCCATCCTACTCAAAAATGAGCAGTGTGATCTCTGGCTTCTTATCCAGGGGAAGGGCAGACTGGAAAGGCTTGCCCTTGTTTTGTGAAGACCACTCACTGTTTTCAGGCCGCCCGAGTCAAGAGGATGCGGTTAGGGAGGCAGGGGGTCAAGGGCTGTTCCTTGACTCTGCCATGTGGACTGGATTTTATTTTTAATTTTTTGGAATATAAAGAACAGGGTGAATTCTGATCTGCACGCTTTCCTTCTGGTGTCGCCAGGCGGTCTTCTGAGATCCGTGTATGCGCTACGGTTTCCCAGCAGCCTGTGCGCTTGGTTGGCTACTTCAGTATTCTGTTAACACTGTGAGTGAACTGAAGCCAGGTCCTTTCCCCCGAGCTCTTGGCCTAGACTTTGGGGACTGTGACACTGGTAGCTACATCTGTTCCCGTCCAGGACTGAGAAAAGAAACCGGGAAGGGTGTGCGTGTGTGTGTCAGGAGCTGTTGTTCCCCGAGTGCAGGAGTATGGATTCCAGGTTGGTTTGGAGATTTCCGATCCATATGGGGGAGAGACGAGGCGGACCTTCTTTGAAACCCTGTTGTGAGGATCCTGGTGCTCGCAGGAGCTGTTGACAGGGGAGGACACCCTTCTCAGGGCGGCTGGCACCTACACTCAATTGGGAAGGCAGAAGGCATCAGTGGCTGCCTTGCCTGCCTTCCGTTGACCGCAGTTGCCTTGCCTGCTCCTGGTGACCGGGGAGGGGGGGTGGCTGCATTGGTTGCTCTTTGCCTTGAGGCCACCTGAGGGTTTTCTTTTAGCTGCAGGCAGACAGGGGGGCTGCCGCTCAGGAGGTAAGAAAGAGGGTAGGGGCAAACTGCCAGAGGAGAAGCAGAGCCCCTCTCCCCAAAAGCCATCACAACCAGCCGGGAAACATCCTTTGCCTGATTAGCTGAAGCAAGCCCCTGGTTTAAAGAGCCAGGAAGCTGCTGGGCTTCCGTGCCTCTGTTTCACTCTGGATACAGCGCTTATTCTGCCCGCGGCGGAGGGTGCCATCCTGTCCAAGAGGGGGAACCTGCCCTTTTGCAAATGACTGCCTTTGTGGAAAAAAAAATGCTCTAGCCTTGTAAGCCTGTCACTAGCCTGCCGTGGGGGGGCTCATGAGACAGAATAAGGACCACTGCTGCCAGAGGCAATTGGCAGAGGCGGCACTCTGCCTTCTCTAGTTCTGTTTTGAATGTTTAAAAAAAATCCTGGTGAACTGGAGCGCGGGCCGGAGTGTGCATCAGGACGGCATCTTCCCCGTTGGGACCTGTCTTGCGCTTTGCCTGCGCCCTTCACCCTTTCTTGCCTCGTTCCCCCCCAGGGGCTCCCGTTTTCCTGCCGAAAAGCTTCTCCCTTCAGAGGAAAGGTGCCTCGTCTCCCAGCTCAAGGGGGATCGGCTAGTTTGGGAAACGAGATTCAGAAGGTGATGCTTTGGGGAAGCAGGAGGACTGGGCCCCTTGGGCAGTAGCCCCAGGGCCCGGCAGCGGTTTAGGCTTCTTGCTTCGAGGCCTGTGGGGACTGGAGGAGGGAGGCCTTCCCTTTGGTTAGCAGTGGCTTTTTTACAGCTTTGAAGGTGTGTTTCTCTCACACACACACGCCTCCAAAAAGATGGCTAAGTTGGTGGTGGAAAACGGAAGGATCAGACCTGCTCCCCTTTATCTCTGTGTGATTGGCTTAACGGGTTGCACGCTCTTCCTGCGTGTCTGTATGCCGAGGGTGCTTCCAAAGCAGTGGCATCTCCAGGCTGGAAGACGAGGCAGGGGTAGGAGCAAAAGAGGGGAAGGCAGTCGGTGGCACAAGTCCGTCTTTGCTGGGCTCCGTCTGCTAGACCGGCCTGTGGATTAGAGCCATTTCTTTCTGCATTGGCAAGTGTTTGGTTATGTGCTTCTGCATCTGATTGCTTGCAGACTACTCTAATTTCTACGAAGTGAATCTAATGGATTATCTAGACTTTCCTGGAAATGCATCAGAGGCAGATGGTACAGAGGCAGGTGTACTTTGAAGCTTATAACTGTGATATTTTTTTAAATCGCAGATTGACCAACACTGACATGTTTCAGGTTTGAGGAAAGCAGTGTGCATGCATAGAGTAACTCAGGATGGCATATACGGTTATGCTGGATTGCCCCTCCTGCAGGTTTGAAAACCAGCCCAGCGGAGAAGACAGTAAATGGTAGATGGTACAACAAATGTTGGCTGACCTTAGTCCTTTTAAAAATGTAACATTAACAAGGGTTTTTTTTGTAAATTGATTTTTTTTTCTTTCTATGTACAAAACATGGCCATTCTTTGTTTTTACATGTTCATGCTGTGTAATTTTGAATTGTTAACTGAGATACTGAACATAATGTGCATTTTTTCTGTACAGATGAAATGGAAGAATTTAATAAAAAAGAGTCTGCAGGTTTTTATTTGTTTGGCTTGTGTTTCCATCGACTCTGAATACAAAAGGAATCCTACCTGGTCATTCTCTGAATCTTGTTGGATTTGGTGGCTTTTGAATCTTTGTGAAGCTTGCAAGAAAGCAAACGTGACACCTGTCAGCTTCTACTGTGTTTGATCTGCCTCCGTGCAGTAAAACACACTCAACTGCTGATTAAAAGTGTTGGGTTTCCTGGTTTTTTCCCCTCAAAAAATAGGGATGTAGCCACTTCCTGCTTGATGTTAAAATGAACTATGAAGAAAGCAAACGTGACACCTGTCAGCTTCTACTGTGTTTGATCTGCCTCCGTGCAGTAAAACACACTCAACTGCTGATTAAAAGTGTTGGGTTTTCTGGTTTTTTCTCAAAAAATAGGGATGTAGCTACTTCCTGCTTGATGTTAAAATGAACTATGAAATTGCTTTTTCAGAATGTGTTCAGACTCAATTCGTCAGTTGAAAATACACGGTGAGAACAGGCTAGGTGCTCATAACACAAATGGGCAGAAAAACAGCTGCACGTTTTAGTTCTCGTTACAGCTTCTAGTTTCTTAAGCTGGGAATTTGGGAATTATGGTTCATGGGAAGGGCTCATGGCAGCTGGCATAAAAGGCTCAATACATCTGATGGTTACCATGCTACCACCTATGTCCTGCTAGTTGCAGTTTCTTTAAAAGGGCGTCTACACTACAGGATAGTCTGGAACTTCTGCAAGGTGTTCTCTGTAGAGGCACCTTGGCTGTGGAGCGTTTGAACCTTGTGCAACATTTTGCAGAACCTGCCTCTTCAGATGAGGGCGAGGACTGAAACCTGAGAGGGGAGGCTGTGTCATGCCTGCAAAATTAGACATATTTGCCACCAAATGAAACTCTGCAGGTTTCCTGCACTACTTTGAGTTCTGCTTATATATATCTTCCAGTGAGCCTCGGCACTAGTTTGGAGAGGGTAAGCAAGGGGATTGCCCAGGCCCTGAAGCCTGCTGACACACGAACTGAACCACATTTGGTACTGGATGCCTAAAAAGTTACAAACAAGGCAAGCTTTAGAGTTCTGCAGATCTCTTTTGTCAGGCAAAAATGGTACAAAATCTCAGGGCAGGGAAAAGCAGGTAAGTTCTGGATTTTAAATGGCCCTTAACTCTTGAAGGTCAATGGC